ATATATATATAGGTCTGCTCTACGGTTGTATTGAGCTCTTTTGTTAGTTAGTTGTTACTCGTATCAGGGTTTTTTCTTTGGGCTTCAGACCTGCATCTGTGCGATTTTTTTTGTCGGCAGAAGTCCATGTTTGTTGCTCTTTCTTTTTTTAAAACCTTTTTTTTCCTCGAGATTGATTTGATTAGCAAATCAAAAATTCGAGGGTTTTTCGAAACGAGTCTAGTTATCTATCTATCTATCTATCTATCTATCTATATATATATATATATATATATATATATCTTATAAGTATAAGAAACTACATTCGGAAATCCTTCGGTGTCTTGATTTGGGAATAATCAAACCAATACCAAAGGGGAAAAAAGGTATAAAAAAGGAAAAAGAAAAAAACCAAGAACATGTACGTTAGCCGAAAATAATCGTCTAGCATGTAAATCCAAAGTTCAAAGAAAAAAAACCCGATGTAAGTAAGCAAGTAACTAAATAAAGTGCTCAATACAATGAGTAGAGCAGACCTAGTTAAACCTAGAGAGCCAGACAAACCTACCAAGGTTTCACCTAAGCGGATTGTCAGAGAAAGGCAGCTTTTCCTAACGATGCGCTTAGGTGAAACCTTGATAGGTTTGTCTGGCTCTCTAGATGTAACTTATATATATATATATATATATATATATATATATATGTGTGTGTGTGTGTGTGTGTGTGTGTGTGTGTGTGTGTGTGTGTGTAATTAATCGGAGATTTCAGAAAGCTTTCTGAAGTCTGTGATTTTCTGAAGTCTAGGATTTGTTAATTAATTGCTGTTTACTACATTGAGCTCTCAGGATTTATATCTCCTCTGGAATTATCCATCAGGATTACCAATTACGTTTATTTTATTATATATATATATATATATATATATATATATATATATATATATATATATATATGTTAGTCAGTATACATAATATCTAAATATTTAACGTCGATAACACTACTTGGACTTTCATGCAGTTAATGCAATCTTCAGGTGTGAAAGATTACATGAACTGCATCTATCTCCGATTAGTGTTATCAACATTGAATATTATGCGTATTCCCTAATATACGCTTCTACGCCTGTTTCATAATATTGAGCACTGTATTTATAACACCTGAGGAACATATATACTTACGTACGTGCAAGTATTTGTGCGTTTAAGTACATTTCTTATCCTACTCATTCATATATATATATATATATATATATATATATATATATATATATATATATTTTTTTTTTAAAATATGATTCCTTCGCTACATAAGAGTTCTCATGTTTCAAAAACGAGAGCCGAAACCATCCAAATAATTATTAAAATTATGTTGAATTGTGGTGTTTAGTCCCGTTTCATCTTCAAGCGAAATTTTAGGAATAAGCTATCTCTTGGTTTACGTGTGTTTTTAGGCATGCTCCGTTACAGAATTCGTTATTGTGGGAGTGGCTAGACTATTTTCCTTCGTTAAGTGGTCAGAGAGTTAATTCTTTAAGTGTATTCATATATATATATATATATATATATATATATATATATATATATATATATATATGAATACACGTTTGTTTGTGGTCGTAGAATGGCGGTATCACTACTCTCAAGTCGGCTTGTCATCTGTGAATTATTCACAGGAAATTTTCCCATAATTCGACTTGTGTATTACAACAACGTCTCGATTGTGACGAGGCCAAAGGTTGAGATATAAGTAAAAGCAAATAGGCAACATCTAGAAAGTAAACTCTGATGTCATGTCAGGTGCGTGGCGACAAGCCGTAAGCGACAGATGACAGATGGTGGCGAATTGTGTTGCATTTTGTTGATAAGTTTTGCGCAGAAGCTGCAGTTGCTGGGGAAGGTGGGTGGGGGGAAGCTTCAGATAGTCTATTCCTTTCTTTTTTCTTCTTTTTTTTTGTAATTCTGTTCTGATTCCAGGTCATATTTATCAGGGATTGTTTATTATATATTTATTAGTTCTATTCGTGTTTTTGTTAATGTTTTGTTTTATCTTTACATTAATTTATTTATCGAATAGATATTACTTTGTCTGGGTTTGTTTTACATGATTTTTTACCTTTTGCTCTACTTCTTTCTTTTTTCCCTTTCTTTCTTTCTTTCTTTCTTTCTTTTGTATCCACCTTTCTTTCTTTGTTTTATTTCCACTATATTTCTTTCTTTTTTCTTTTTTTTCTTTCTTTCTTTCCTTCATATTGCTTTTTCTTTCTCTGTTTTCTTTCTTTTATATTCAATGATTTCTTCCTTTTATATCATTTTCTAATTTATTTTTAGTTTCTATTATAACGATTTCTTTCTTTCTTTCTTTTATAACCATTTCCCATTCTTTCTTTCTTTCTTTCTTTCTTTCTTTCTTTCTTTCTTTCTTTTATAACCATTTCCCATTCTTTCTTTCTTTCTTTTATAACCATTTCCCATTCTTTCTTTCTTTCTTTCTATCTTTCTTTCTTTTTTTCTGTCTTTTATAACCATTTCCCATTCGTTCTTTCTTTCTTTCTTTCTTTCTTTCTTTCTTTCTTTCTTTCTTTCTTTTATAAACATTTCCCATTCTCTCTTACTTTCTTTTATATCCATTTCTTTTCTTTCTTTTTTATGCAATCCTTATTCTCCTACAAAAATGTCGAGATCATTTATGTATGAGTATATTATGCAAATACATATTTTCATATAAACATATTTATTACTAACACGACAACGTATGCATTTTTGTCACGATTGTTTTACAACCCTTTCACATATTCTGTTCTCTACAACCCTTGGCAAATATTATGGAATTAGCACACTTAGAGAATGTCTACTTTGGATTTTTATACTGCAATAAATAAAATAATCTTATATATAAAGTACAGTGTGTGTGTGTGTGTGCTTTTGCGTCTGTGTTTGGGCGTGTGTGTCCTCAAGCAACCCTTCCTCCGCTCCCACATCTCTGATTTCAATGAATCATAACTCATTCAAAACCCTAGAAAAGTTAGTCTCAGGGAACGATTTTCGTTGAACTCAGATTCAGAGTTGCATTTAAGCTAGCTGCTGTGGAGGACTCTTGGTTTGGCCGCCATCACAATAGCTAGGGAGGAGTAGATGTGATGTGCAACAATAAACTAGAGAAGAACTCAAAACTTCATTAAACTATTGCATTAATATTTAAGCTTACCTTTTTAAAAGTTCAACAATTATTCTTCTACAGTCACTTAATTTAAAGACAATTTGATGTATGTAGGTCCTTACTTTCTATATAAACAATTATTTTTATGTCATGGATAACTTTTGCTGGATTTTGCAGTTAATTCCCAAATTTATTTTTGATTCATGAAAATCATCATACAAAAAAAATTCTTGTAAAAATCCCTTAAAAATATTGCTAAAAACAATCACAGTAATGAAAACTTGAGAATCCAAAATTTTAGGATTGTGGGTTTGGATCCAGTTTGGTATGTTTTTGATTTGCTCATGGAGTTGGCCTGATTCCAAAATGTTAGGATGTGTTGGAATACAGTCTCTAGGAATAAAATATTTCTAACTAGCTTAAAAGCTTCCCTGTTGGGTGGCATTTAAGTTATCTCCTACAGAGGCCTCTTGATTAGGCCTTCATCACAATAGATAGAGAGGAGGAGATTCGATAGGCATCAATAACCTACAGAAGAACTCAAAACTGATCACTGCATTTAAGTATTGAATTAATGTTTAAGCTTACCTTTTAAAAGTTTAACGATAATTCTTCTGCTGCCACTTAATTTAAAGACGATTTGATGTACGTAGATCCTTATTTTTCGTACAAACAATTATTTTTATTTCATGGATGACAGAACAGGGGACAATTTATAAGATAAAAATTAATATAGTGTAAAGATGAGAAAATAGAAATTAGAATTAGTTATACACTCAACATTTGAAGAGTTAGAGAAACATAATAACTAATTAAGTAAAACCTATATTATGGAATCTATATGAATAAATGCGTAACTGGAGCTCAATTATCCAATAAATTCTGGGGATGTTAAAAAGGCCCAATTCTACTTTATAGTAATTTGTATTTACTCCCCCACGCCACCACGAGGTCTGTTTGTGACACCAGGTCGGTTTAATGTAGCACGAGCGCGTACCCCCGGGCTAGAAATAAAAATTGCCCGAGCCCCCGCAAACGTCGGTTGCACTTGCCTCGGTGCAAGCATCGATCCCTCTCTATGGTGCAATGAGTGAGCACGGCCTCGGGCAGCTATTCCCCACGGCTGGTCACCTCTCAGTATAATTTTCCTCAGTTGCGACTCAACGCACTCTGTCCAAAGATGCAACTGAGAGATGATAAATATATTTCTTAAACTACTTTAGATTGATTTGTGTTTATTCAAACCACAGGGGTCAGGTTGTGACACAAGGTCTTTTTATTGTGGATAATTTCTATTTACTCAACTCCCTACGAGGTCAGGTTGTGATACAAGGTCGTTTTAATGCGGGCAGCCCGAGCGCGTACACCTGATTGCCCGAGTCCCCGCAACCGTTGATTGCGCTTGCCTCAGTGCGAGCGCCGATCCCTCTCTCTGGTGCAATGACAGGGCGCGGCCTCGGGCAGCTGTTCCCCGTGGCTGGGCACCTCTGCGACTCTGTCCTTTGACGGAGCCGCCCCTCAGCTGACTCTGCCCAAAGACAGAGACGCAAATGAGAGATGATATTAAACGTGTTATAAACTACTCGAGAGGAATTTACACACTAAAAGCTCAATATCTGTATTATATATTATTTAGTTAGGCACCTCGAGGCGGTGTAACTTTTAGCAATCTTGTTTCGTTTGAACAATTATGACTCAATAGTGGGTTCGATATTCACTGGGGGTATTTATTCTGTAACATAGAGAATTGTGGCACAAGCCCGGATGGGGAAGTGGGGCTGGTCTTCATTAACTATCCTAGTCCTAGTTAATCAGATTCGCGACCCTTTTATTCATTACAATTCGCTCATTCACAAAAAAAAAAAAAAAAAAAAAACGTGTCCATCACCTCTTGACCCTGTATACACCAAAATACCGGATATTCACCGGAATGGGTGGGGGGTATAAAAATAACCCCCTGAGATTAAAAATCCGATGAGAGTCTGAAATTTCCATTTTTCTTTTTATACTTTTTTTTCTTTTCTTTTTACAAAAATATATAAAAATTTAGATTCATGTAAAGATGAGGAGGAAAAATAAACCGAAAACAAACATAATGTAACACAAAAATAAAACAAAACTAATGTTAGTAGGGACTGTGCATTCCTCAAAATAATAAGAGAGGCCGCTGTATTCTGCCGATAGACAGAATCATGCCGCACACTCACTAATGGAATGAGGAGGGTCAAAATAAATGACGGAATGGAAAAAAATGAAAGGCTGACCCAGCCGAGATTAAAATTGGGGTCATAAACAAACTGGGGAGATTGGGAATCTCGACATGGGTTAAAACAAAAGAGAGAGCCGGGAACAACAGTTATTCATATTAACTAGGAAAACAAAATAGTGTCTAACTTAACCAGGGGAGAGTTCACAGAAAACCGCTTCGATTTTCAGAGGGTACCCCAATACTTTTGTCTCATGCCGCATCTAAACTACGCTTGGAAAATCACTATATTATCTACTTCTACTCAATATCACTCTTCACTAATTTGCATATTGATTTTAAAAAAGTTTATTTTATTAATTAAATGTCCTTCATTACTGTTCTTTTATTCGAGGATTGTTTCGATTTTCATATAAAAAATAATTCTTTTTAAGAATATCGTCTTATAGAGGGCAGAAAAGTGTTTGAAATTTGCATTTTACTTCAACAAGTTGGCATCTATTTGTAAAGCTTTCTTTGAATATAACAAGCCAATTTATGAATGAAATGTTTCTTTAAACTTTTTGTTTCAAAGATTTCAAGTAGTGAATATATCTTACTTTGAAAATCGATAGCGAGCGGGCGAAGCCTGCTAATTACAAATAAGACCAAAACCTTTTTTCTAGCTCAACGTACCGGTTTCGTAAAATTTACTTTAAACCAAGTTGATTAAATGATTTAAATTAATGCTATGATGTTTTTCCAAGCCATGTAAGAAAAAGTTATGGAATAACGCAATGTTAAGACAATATCTGTTGAATGACCTTGCAATTTGCATTTCTAAAATAAACACGGGCAAAAATCTAGATCTGCAAACAGGTGAGAATTCTTAGACATAAAAAAAGCGGTTGGACAGACCGAATAGAAAGGAAACACACCTGCAACAAAAGAATTGTCATTTGAAACAACCGGAAAACACTTTCAAGGAGGCAATCCACAGTGGAATGTGACGAAATTGTTGGTTTTTCCCAGTCAGCTCTATTTAAAATAGCTTGGTTAAAAAAGAAAGGAAAGAAAAAAACATATTGAGGTCTCATTGATGCATCAAATCATCAGGTTAGAGAATTCAAACCACGACGCCTTGAAAATAGAAACAGTACAACGTAAAACAAAGAGTCAATGTTTACGATATAACTGCTGAATGAAATAAGATTTATATAGAAAAATTAATGAAAACTAACACTAACACAGAAATAGATGAATACGAGTTTAAGATGAGCTAAAGAGAAACAATCATGGCATGGGGATGATTGGATAAAAGTGAAATTAAGTAATGAATCAAGTTCACCTTTGCCCAATGAGATAATGTGGGACATTTGTTTGGTAGCGTTCAAATGAAACATATCTAAATGAATGCATGAAGAAAACAGTTACATTTCGCAAGGCAATCATTCATATTAAAACGACTGGTGGAAATGTTAATATTTACCTAAATAATTAATGTATCATATGATGGACTCTACCGTAGTTTTCGACGTATGAGTGTCTTTCAGTTCAGTTTTTATGTTTATGTTTCGTATGAGACAACAATCCTTCACGGGATTTACAAACAAGTCCACAAGTGGCACATGCTGAAGGGTTGACCATCACATATTTGTATTAGTCCGAGATTTAGTGTTAAGTTTTAATTCTTTCAGATGGTTGAAACGATTCTTTTTAAAGTTAGTTATACCTCGGTAACAGGTGTTTCTCCAATTTGTTCGGTTTTCAACAAGTTCAAATTCCACGATAGGGATGTTTGCAGCCTTTAAATTGTATTTTTGTTCTCGAAGCCTAACCAAGGTCGGCTTACATTATGTTTACCATGAAAAAGTTGGCTATACATGAGATTTTCCGGCATCCGATCATCACTCATTCTGAAGATCATGATCAGCTCATGTGATTGCATCAGAAAGGATTCGATAAAACCGACGTCGCATTTAATGAAAAGATCAATGTAGCGTATACACTCGCGTATAAGCGTGCGATGGATAAATTTTCATCTAAATTACGTAAAAATGAAAATAACACTGACATCTCATTTTAATAAATATATTTTCCAGAATTACACAAAAATATCTAGAAATACTAAAAAGTAAATCTATTCAATAAAAATCGCCATTAGCTTCAACCACAGCCTC